GCGGAGAACCCAAGCTGCTTGAATGTTTTCGTACGAAAAAATTTCTCTCCAAAGGGTATTTATAAATAAAGGGTATTCCAGGGTATTTATAACGTCTTAGCATGCGCTCTTTAATTTACAGTATGAGAGGAAATAACATTATGCAATATAATGCATCTTATGGAAGGCCACTATAGTGGCCCATAGTACCTCAGTGGCATCTTATGAAAGGCCACTATAGTGGCCCGTAGTACCTCAGTGGCATCATACGAAAGGCCACTATAGTGGCCCGTAGTACCTCAGTGACATCTTATGGAGGGCCACTATAGTGGCCCGTAGTAGCGAAAGGGTTAAAGTCTTGCAATCGATTTTTATTCCGCATAAAAAATCCTGGTCTGATAATCCTAGCGCAATGCTGCAGCGGTATCCGACAAACCGTATTCGCAATTTACGTTTCATAATTATTAAAAACAACGCATATCATTTCGCATCATCTCGCAAATCCATGTGCCAACACGTTCGCAAAGAAATGGAATAATTTGCGCCGTGTAAAAAAAGAAAACGTGTGAATCGTCACTTCGATCAACACGAGCGAATTTCTAGCATTAACACGCCTGCTATAATTGCTATAATTGATCTTGCCTACTCTTCTATTGCCAAACAAAAGTCGTCCCGATTTCGCAGAAACTTTTACGAAAACTGGTACAGCAATTAACGGGTCGAATTCGCATTGTTTCTAAATAAGATAAAACGTCGAACGTTGAAAATCCTGTCGCACGGTGTTGACGCCAACAGCCGAAATAATTAACAACAGCGCGCTGTAGTTTCAGAGCGAGAATCCACGAGTTCGGCGCGGACGCGTTAATACTAGATCCCCGGATCGTCTTTTCGGTCGTTTAACAATGCATACGGTCGACACGGTTATTAGTATGCAGTCCTCGATACCGGTGGCCGACGCTGCATCCTAACTACTTCGCGAATACTTTTCGTTACTGTTTCGTAGTCGCAAGTTGCGACGTTAGTTTCGCGCGCTTTCAGCTTGTTAGACATGCAACAAATGGGATCCCCCTCGTGAATAAATCTGTGACCGTTAGGTAAAAGTCACATGCCCCCGTTATCGGGATAATGTACTTTGAAGTTTTTAAAATCCCCGCCCCCGCCCCCTATCCCGTTGCTTCCTCCCCTTCCGAGACTTCGATGTTATCGCATTATTATTTTAAGGAGCAACGGAAGGATCTTTCGTGTACTTTCTGCTGCTACGAAGATTAGTTGGCATACCGTGCCCTTTGCGCAAGTTTTCGGCTTTTTTCAACATTTATTATTCCTTTTACCGTGCCGTCTCTCGTGCGTACCGATCCAAAATGTATGGGATCCGTTGGTTCGCGAAGAATTGATTAAATGTAGCTATTTATTTCCATTTCGCAGCAAAGTGACCGATATATTTACTTATATTTTGTATCGAACTGAGACATTTAATTCTTGATATTAAAACAGGAGACTGAGTGGTTTCAAATATAAAATATTTCGTGAAATACGTTATCGTTATTCTTATATCCGAGGAGAATTGATTAAACATTTATTCCTATTTCACAGCAAAGTGACCGATATATTTACTTATATTTTGTATCGAACTGAGACATTTAATTCTTGATCTTAAAACAGGAGACTGAGTGGTTTCAAATACAAAATATTTCGTGAAATACGTTATCGTTATTCTTATATTCTTATATATCGTCATTATTATATTTATTTCTATTTAGCAGCAAACTGACTGAGATACTTTCTTAATTATATTTTGTATGATACTTCATGATACTTTATAAAATACGTCAGTATCATTACACTTACGCAGCTTTTCAAATACAATAATTAAGAAAAATATTTATCGATTATCAATGAGATAAACAACCCAAAGGAAATAATTGTCAATGCAATTTTCTAACGAAGAAACGTGTGACGAATGATCATTGACAAGACTTGAGCTGAAATATTTTATAAAATTCGTTACTATCATTATTCTTATATAGTCTTTAACACACAATAATTAAGAATGAACATTTATCAATTGTCACTTAGACGAACAACCCGATGGAAATAATTGTCAATTCAATTTTCTAACGAAGAAAAATGACGAATGTTCATCGATAAAATTTGAGCTTAAATATTCTACAAAACACGTCGCTATCATTATTCTTGTATAGTCTTTTAACGTTCAATAATTAAGAACAAAAATGTATCAATTGTCACTTCGATGAACAACCTAAAGAAAATAATTGTCAATTCAATTGTTCGTGAAGAAAAAGGGTAAAGCTCGTAGAGATCGGAACTTCGAAACTCGAAAATTTTCCGAAATCGTAACCGGAAATGGAATCTCGCGATAGATAGTGAGAAATAATAATTACCCCTGCTCGTCGAAGTAGTTCCACGTCACCCGAGGGTCCGGAGTGGGTGCTGGGAGCAGCTCGGAGGACATCACGATGGCCGTGCCATCTGGGTCCACATAGTTGCCGGAATTTCCGGCGGAGAGGGCCACCGAGGCTGGCTCTTTCAGTCGCAGCGCTCTGTTTTCGTTCTGCGAACAAACAAAGATCGTTCTGAGAGCGGGTTATTAAATTTTCCGGCGGAATTCAGCCGCGTCTGGCAAACAATTCCCTCAAAGAATCACAGCGCAGCAGCGTTAGACAAAGCCCCGACCATCGAACTACATCGCAACAAATCTGAAACGGGCCGGCGAAAATCGCTCGAACTTCAAACACACATTGTTCCCTCCCCAAACATTGTTATCGGAAGCTTTTACAGGGTAAACGGCGTACAAACAGCTCATTTTAAACTACGATAGCGACGGAGTGCTCGCCCTATTATTAAACAGGAAACGCTTCCAGCGTTAACCGCGCCCTTTTCGCAGCCTCGAGATTAGGTGAGAAGACAGACTCAAAATTGTACTACAGGACTCGTACAAGTGACACGAGTTCAATTATGTTATAAGGTAGAAGTCTCGCGATTAAACAAAAATTGCTTCGTCATTAATCATGTACAAATTTTCGACATAAAAGCTGATCTGCTTATCACTGTTTCAAGGAACACAGCACAATTATCTGAGAAAAGTATCTCAAAATTGCAACGCAAACTACATGCAACTGCCATGACCCTTCAACTATCCTCAAAAACAAAGATCCCCTTTCAGATTCAAATGAATCAAATTTTTTAACTAATAAAATCGAAGTGTAAATAAAACGGTATATTATTGAACGATAATTTATTATTTACTAATTATATTATAATTTTATATTATATATACATTATATAACATTATTTACATTATATTTATATATATAAATATATTATATATTATAATTTATTATTATTATTTAACGGAAAATCCCGAACGGTAAATAAAATGTCCCAAATCGAATAACACCGATTTTCTTGAATCATTCGATTGATTCATCGGTCAGCATATTAGTCCAGGTCTGAAGAAGCCTGACATCTTGACTCTGCGAACCATGGAAGCAAGAAATCCACAACATCGATCCCCAAAGACGTCTGCAAGGATCCGCAGAAGGAAACCGAGCCGCGACCGACATTCCGCCGCGATAGATATTTAATTCCGACTTGTCAATCATTCGTTGGCGATCGATCTCTCGCGGTTGCAGTTTCGCAGTGCCTTCTGGGATCGATGCTGGCGATGCTTCGCGGCCTAGCTAGCTAGCTAGCTAGCTAGCTGCCGCCTTCGGTTGGCTTCGATACAAGAAGCAATTGTGAAGGAAGGGAGGGTCTCCCGCGAGGGTGCACGCCGGGGCTCTTTGTATTGACACATCATCGAGATACGGCGTATTGATTCTGAATCGATACGGAGTCGCGAGGCACTTCGCATCTACCGGCATCCTTTGTGCATCCCGGCCCGACCCGGTCCGCATTGTGCATCCGGTATATGGGTCATCGAATTTTCCCCATCGACTTGCTGTCCCGGATCGAGGCCCGTTTGTCTGCCCGCCTGTCTCTAGATACGTCGCCAACAGAACGAGCATGATGGGACCGAGATCTAGGATCTTGACGGCCGCGAATGTCGAATTGCGTCAATAACGCGGTTCGTTGGAATATTAGACAGAAATTTAGGAAATTCCTTTTAGTGAGAATTGTTAGATTCGAGATCGTTCTTGGACGCGTTTGAAGCAGTTCTCGATGGTTTGAATTGATTGTTAACACTCTTTGCGCTCGAAGTTATTCGAATTCAAACTTCAAGACACGTTTTCTGATCTACATCGTCTCCGTTTTACATGATTTAATTGCAATTTTAGCGTATGAAATTCAATTTCACTTGCTACTGGCGCTTTTAACGGTTTCTTAAGTATAAACAAATCTGATATTTTTACAATTATTTCGAGAAGTGTAGCAAATTTTAATGACGGCTCGGAGTCGCACTTGCAATCACAACACAGCTGCCTTAGGCTACCCATAAGAAACATTAATTCCAACAATAATCGATAACGCACACTATGCGTTATACAACGACACAGTTATAAAAACACCCACCATCCAAGAGTCGCAAACGTAAAAATTCTTTCGAATTCCAAACGAGCATTCTCGGCGGCGTCCAAAAGTCGCGCATCCGAGTGTAAAAGATCGAGGTTCGAGCTCGTACTTTCCGAAAGATCCGAAAACATTCGGGAACAGCGAAACTCCGAAGATTCACGGCCAAAGGCGCCGCAGCTCGGCCAGCTAAATGACTCGAGCCCGAACAAAGTGCATTCGATGGAGAACAAACGGTGAAAAGCCCTGCCGGTTCGGAGGGTGTGCGGAGGGGGAGATAGGAAATCGCGACGCACAACCTAGCCACGATGAAATATTAATTCACGGGTCAGGGGCTGCATTAGGCCGGAAGTGCAGTTGGCTGGCCAGCGAGCGGCAAGCTGTTGCATCCGGTTGCCTCGGGAGCCACGTGACGTCGCGAAACGAGACGCAAAGCTTGACGAACTCTGACTCTATCCCGCTACGAATGCGCCAAGACTCGTGCTGTAAGCCATTTTATGCTCTACCGGCTACTGTGGAATTCATTTCTCCTTGAGCCGGACGGTCGCTATCCGCTCAACGGAATGCCGATTGTTTTATGCTGTTTAAACCCTATGAAAAACGGACTTGACTTCCTTTTATGGTAAACTGGCGTGTTCCCTTCCTGCGTAAGACAAACATATCTTCTTTCTGAGTAAAATAAACTTGTCTTTTTTCGACGTACAACAAACTTGTCTTATTTTTTTTGTAGAACATGCCCGTCTTCTTTCTATGTAAAACGAAGTTTTATTTACTTTTTATCCCAAATGGACTTGCCTTCTTTCTTTGTTAAATAGACATGACTTTTCTCATTGTAAAACGAACTTGCCTTCATTGTATGTAAGGCAAACTTGACTTCTCTATACGGAAGACAAACTTGCCTGTATTCTATGTAATACAAACTTGATGTCTTTATACTTAATACAAACTTGTCTTCATTGTATGTAATACAAGCTTGACGTTTTTACTTTGACTTAATACAAACTTGACGTTTTTACTTTGACTTAATACAAACTTGACGTTTTTACTTTGACTTAATACAAACTTGACGTTTTTACTTTGACTTAATACAAACTTGACGTTTTTACTTTGACTTAATACAAACTTGACGTTTTTACTTTGACTTAATACAAACTTGACGTTTTTACTTTGACTTAATACAAACTTGACGTTTTTACTTTGACTTAATACAAACTTGACGTTTTTACTTTGACTTAATACAAACTTGACGTTTTTACTTTGACTTAATACAAACTTGACGTTTTTACTTTGACTTAATACAAACTTGACGTTTTTACTTTGACTTAATACAAACTTGACGTTTTTACTTTGACTTAATACAAACTTGACGTTTTTACTTTGACTTAATACAAACTTGACGTTTTTACTTTGACTTAATACAAACTTGACGTTTTTACTTTGACTTAATACAAACTTGACGTTTTTACTTTGACTTAATACAAACTTGACGTTTTTACTTTGACTTAATACAAACTTGACGTTTTTACTTTGACTTAATACAAACTTGACGTTTTTACTTTGACTTAATACAAACTTGACGTTTTTACTTTGACTTAATACAAACTTGACGTTTTTACTTTGACTTAATACAAACTTGACGTTTTTACTTTGACTTAATACAAACTTGACGTTTTTACTTTGACTTAATACAAACTTGACGTTTTTACTTTGACTTAATACAAACTTGACGTTTTTACTTTGACTTAATACAAACTTGACGTTTTTACTTTGACTTAATACAAACTTGACGTTTTTACTTTGACTTAATACAAACTTGACGTTTTTACTTTGACTTAATACAAACTTGACGTTTTTACACTTAATATAAACTTGTCTTCATCGTATGTAATACAAACTTGACGTTTTTATACTTAATATAAACTTGTCTTCATCGTATGTAATACAAACTTGACGTTTTTATACTTAATATAAACTTGTCTTCATCGTATGTAATACAAACTTGACGTTTTTATACTTAATATAAACTTGTCTTCATCGTATGTAATACAAACTTGACGTTTTTATACTTAATATAAACTTGTCTTCATCGTATGTAATACAAACTTGACGTTTTTATACTTAATATAAACTTGTCTTCATCGTATGTAATACAAACTTGACGTTTTTATACTTAATATAAACTTGTCTTCATCGTATGTAATACAAACTTGACGTTTTTATACTTAATATAAACTTGTCTTCATCGTATGTAATACAAACTTGACGTTTTTATACTTAATATAAACTTGTCTTCATCGTATGTAATACAAACTTGACGTTTTTATACTTAATATAAACTTGTCTTCATCGTATGTAATACAAACTTGACGTTTTTATACTTAATGCAAACTTGACGTCTTTATACTTAATACAAAGTTGACGTCATTATACTTCATACAAACTTGTCCTCATTGTACGTAAAACAAACTTGTCCCCATTGTATGTAAGACGAACTTCATTTCTTTATATGCAACACAAACTTCTGTTCCTCGTATAGGAGACAAACTCGTCTTCTTTGCAAGTGAAACAGACTTATCTTCTTTCAATGGAAAACAAATTTGTCTCCATGGTATGAAATACAAACTTGACTTCTTTATACTTACTACAAACTTCTGTTTTTTATATGAAAGACAAACTTGTCTTCCTTCCGTATAATACAAACTTGATTTCTTTATACTTAAAACAAACTTGTCTTCATTCCGTATAATACAAACTTGACTTCTTTATACTTAAAATAAACTTGACTTCTTTATACTTAAAACAAACTTGTCTTCATTGCATGTAAGACAAACTTGACTTCTTTTCGTTGAAAACAGTCTTGCCTCCTCTCTTTCTCTCTTTACAATCCTTTAGTCTTTCTTCCATCTCATCCAGATTTCTCTTCTCCTAATCCACTGCATTCCGATTTGTTTAATTGTTTCATGTATTTAAATTTCGCAGGTACGCAAATTCATAACAATCAATATCGTAGCCGCGAGAAGAACATTCAGAGGATCAGAACGT